TGCTCAGCTGTATGATCTCATACATACAGTTAACACTGTACAGACTTTGAAGGTAATTAGGAATATATACATAAAGATATATATATATATTTCTAAGTAATATATGAGTGTATACACATATATGTATATGCATATGTGTGTATATATATATATACACACATACATGTGTATTCGTGTGTGTGTGTGTGTGTGTGTGTGTGTGTTGTAGCATCAACTGATAAAAAAAAGAGAGACCATGAATTTAAATGAGATCAGGAAAGAATATATTGAAGGGTTTGGAGAGAGAAAAGGACAGGAGGAAATGATGTAATTATAATATAAAAAATAAAAGAAATAATGAAATTTATTTATTTACTTCTTTATTATTTTTTTTTTACAATTTATTCACTTGGTAACCCTGTGTAGTTCCCTCCCAGTCCTACCCTCCCTCCCTCTTCTCCTCCTATGCCCCTTCTCCAGTCCACTCATGCACAAAGTCCTCCTCCCCTACTGTCTGACCTTAGCCTATCAGGTCCCATCAGGACTGCCTGGATCCTCTTCATCTGTGGGCTAGCTAGGTCACCCCATGGAGAAGTGATCAAAGAGCAGGCAACTGAGTTCATGTCAGAGACTATCTCTTCTCCCCTTGCTATAAGACTCGCATGGAGATTGAGCCATCTATGGGCTACATCTGAGCAGGGCATCTAGGTCCTCTCCATGCATGGTCCTTGGATGATGCATCAGTCTCTCTAATCTCCCCTGGACCCAGAGGTGTTTTTTTTTTTGTTGTTGTTGTTGTTGTTGTTGTTGTTTTGTTTGGCTCTGTTGGTCTCCTTGTGGAGCTCCTGTCCCCCTGAGTCCTTCTATATCCCCCTTCTTCCATTATACTCTCTGCACTCAGTCCAAAATTTGGCTGTGAGTCTCTTCATCTGCTTCAAATTCCTACAGAGTAGAGTCTTTTAGAGGACAACTGTTGTAGGCTCCCATCTGGTTCCTCTCTTCTACTGCTACTCATGTCTATCTTGTTTTCCCTTCTAAATAAGAATTAAGAATGACTGGCCTGCTCTTTAATTACCTCTCCCTGAGGGGGAAGCAGCATTACCAGGCCACAGAAGAAGACAATGCAGCCAGTCCTGATGAGACCTAATTGACTAGGATCAGAAGGAAGGAAAAGAAGACCTCCCCTATCAGTGAACTTGGGGAGTGGCATGCATGCAGAGGGTGGAGGAAGGGAGGGATTGGGATGGGAGGAGGGAGGGAACCACACGGGGGATACAAAGTGAATAAAGTGTAATTAATAAAGAATTAAAAAAAAAAGAATTAAGAGCACTTGGCTGCTCTTCCAGAGGTCCTGAGTTCAATTCCCAGAAATAATAAAAATATTTTTCAATGTCAAGATCAATTACATATTAGTCCCTACATACTGGGAAATCCTCGTCAGTTGTATACAATTTTGTAATGAATGTTGTTCTGTTTTACCCCTTATTAGCCTCTTTCAGCCACTTAACTTTCCTGCTGAAATTCTTCTCGACAAGTCTGCCTGGCATTTTTATGTCCTATTTTCTGTGTGGTCCACTGAGTTTAACTAGATTCATTACCCAAGAATGGATGAGAAAATTTATTTGGAAAAGGCAATGGCACAGCTCCTTTAACAAGTATTAATTGTAAGTTATCCCTCAGGGAGGGGTTATAATAACACTAGCCAAATATAAATTTCTGAGCATAGGTTACATTAAATGAAGTGTACTTTCTAATTGCAATTTAAGTTTACTCACAAATTCCAAACATTTTCAATATAAAATATGTATGGTAATATAATTGATTTTGGATTTTGTCTGTCTACAAAAGTAGTTTGCACAGCAGCTCTGTCCTACAAGTTCCTCTATTCATATTAGTTATAATTATCATATGATGAACTACTTCATCCTGCTGACTTGAACAGAATGCATGTCTAGGTATAATTTGACATTGCACAGCCTAGGGGTATTTTAGGAATCCATCTTCAATATTCATTTTCTTTAGACTCATTTTTTTATTTTCTAAGGGGCACAGAACAACCTGGATAGTTATTGACCTCACACATGTGTTTCAAAGACAACTATTTGAATAAACTCTGCATTTGCCATTACCAGCACAGTAGTGTGTGAGCAGTAAATATGTAAATGCAATTCAAGAATCCCTTACCATAATAAAAACCAACTTTACATATTTACTTAAATTCTCCTTTGTACAGGAAAAGGAATGAGAGAAAAAGAAGACTGAAATTTTATTTTCAAAACTGTCATTTAGTTTGATGAAAACTAGATTCATGTTTTCTTTAAATGGCATCCTCGGGGGCTTTGGAAAACCACCTAAGTGCTTAGTAAATATTAACTGAGTCACTACAGTACTCCTATAATTCAAATAAAACATAACATGTGACAAGGTGATGATTCCTTTAAAAATAAATTTCTATTTCTAAGGTCATTTAAAGTTGTTTTGTAAGAAAATAATAAAGCAACAATGAAGGAACCAATATTTTAGCTTGTAACTATGTGATCTTGACTGAATATAGTGTATTTGTGTTGAAATTTTCTTGAGTTAATGTTGTGTCTTCTCAAATATCACAAACACCTCTTCCCACCTGGTTGAGATTAGCCTAAGTCTAATAAATCCCATAATTTTTAATGAAATGTAAAAGTTCATATATGATCTCATTTGAAATTAAATAAACTTGAATTATTCTCTTTTTTAAATTTTTATTATTTTTTTATTAATTACAGTTTATTCATTCTGTATCCCAGCTGTAGCCCCCCTCCTTGATTCCCTGCCAATCCCGCTCTCCCTCATTTCCTCCCATGCTCCTCCTCAAGTCCACTGATAGGGGAGGTCCTCCTCCCCTTCCATCTGACCCTAGCTATCAAGTCTCATCAGGACTGACTGCATTGTCTTCCTCTGTGGCCTGGTAAGGCTGCTCCTCTCTCAGAAGGAAGTGATCAAAGAGCCAGCCACTGATTTCAGGTCAGAGACAACTTCAGTTCCCTTACTAGGGAACCCATTTGGAAACTGAGCTGCCATTTATCTGCAAGCATGGTCCTTGGTTGGAGTATCAGTCTCAGGAAAGACCCTCTTGCCCAGGTTTTTGGTTCTGTTGTTCTTCTTGTGAAGCTCCTGTTCCTCCAGATCCTTCTTTCTCCCCTTCTTTCATTAGATTCCCTGCACTGTGCCCAAAGTTTGTCTATGAGTCTCACCATTTGCTTTGATACCCGGATAGGTAGATTCGTTCAGAGGTCTCCTGTGGTAGGCTCCTGTCCTGTTCCTTGTTTTCCCCCTCTTCTGATGTCTGTTCCATTTGCCTTTCTGAGTGAGGATTGATCATCTTACCCAGGGTCCTCCTTCTTGCTTAGCTTCTTTAGGTGTACAAATTTTAGTATGTTTATCCTATATTATATGTCTAATATCCACTTATAAGTGAGTATATACCATTTGTGTCTTTCTGCTTCTGGGATACCTCACTCAGGATGATCTTTTCTAGTTCCTACCATTTGTCTGCAAATTTCATGATTTCCTTGTTTTTAATTGCTGAGTAGTATTCCATTGTGTAAATGTACCACAATTTCTGTGTCCATTCTTCAGTTGAGGGATATCTGGTTTGTTTTCAGATTCTGGCTATTACAAAAAAAGCTGCTATGAACATGGTTGAGCAAATATCCCTGTTGTATACTTGAGCATATTTTGGATATATGCCTAGGAGTAGTATAGCTGGATCTTGTGGAAGCACTATTTCTAATTGTCTGAGAAAGAGAAAACACTAGATTTATTTCCAAAGTGGTTGTATGAGTTTACATCAATGGAGGAGGATTCCCCTTTCTCCACATCCAGAATGTGTTGTGGCTTAGGTTTTTGATCTTAGCCATTCGGATGGGTGTAAGGTGAAATGTCAGGGTCATTTTGATTTGCATTTCCTTGATGACTAAGGATGTTGAGCATTTTTTAAGTGTTTCTCTGCCATTCAATATTCCTCTATTGAGAATTCTCTTTAGCTCTGTACTCCATTTTTTTAATTGGATTACTTGATTTGTTGCTTTTTAACTTCTTGAGTTCTTTATATATTCTGGATAGTAGCCCTCTGTCAGATAGAGGGTTGGTGAATTATTTTCATATATTCAAATTTCTGCACTTAAATAATGCCATCTAGTTAATGTTATAATGATCAAAAACAGAGATGATTGTTCAGATCATGTCGAGTGAGATAACCCAGAAACGGAAAGACGGGCTTGATATAGTCACTTACAAGCAGATATTGTCCCTACAATATAGGATAGCCATCTACAGACCTAAAGAAGCTAAACAACAAGAAGGACCCTAGGGAAGATGCTTAAATCTCATTCAGAATGGCAAACAGGACAGACACTAGAAGCAGTTGAAGAGAGGAAACTGGATGGGAACTTATGATAGAGGGTCTTCTGAAGTGATTCACCCAACAGGGGATCCTAGCAGATGCTGAGATTTGCAGTCAAACTCTGGGCAGAGCACAGGGAGTCATATGGAGGAAGAAAGGGATGGGAATAGAGGAACAGGAGCCTCACAAGGAGACCAACAAAACTTAAAGATCTGAGCCTAAGAGGTCCTTCAGAGACTGATGCACCAATGGAGGACCATGCATGGAGAGGACCTAGATCCTCTGCTCAGATGTAGCAGATTGGCGGGGCAGTGTTCATGTGGATTTGTGAATGAGGGGATCAGGGCTGCCTCTATCATGAAATCAGTTAACTGCTCTTTGATTACTTGTCCCTGCTGATTTGGCCTTGCCAGGCCAGGGAGAAAGAGAACCTAGGCAGTCCTGATGAGACTTAACAAACTATGGGCAGATGGCAAAGGAGGAGAATTCCCCCTCTCAGTAGACTAGTGAAAGGTGATGGGGGGAAAAGGGAGGGAGAGGGAGACTGGAGGAGTTGAGGGATGGTGTGTCAATTGATATATATATAAATGAATAAATTGTGAAGAAAAATTAAAAGTAAAAGAAAAAGAATACACATACCCCCGTCCCTAGAGGCATAGCACGTGTGGATGCTGTGTCTCGGGTGTTTCAGTATGTGGCAGAGCAGCGAGAGGCTATGCCTATGTTCAATGTTTTGGCCTATGAACATCTGAACGATTAATACCCTAACATTCCCTGAAAAAAAGCAACCCTGAGATGACCACCAATCCTGTGCCAGGGTGCCAGGATAGAGAGATAGTCTGAGACAATTACCAGTGGAAAACCACACAGGCCCAGACAGGCTCCCAGGGCAGGGAGCAAGCTGGACTAGGGTCCTGCCTTTGACCAGGACCCTGGGCAGGAGTGAGCCCAAGACAGATGTCTCTAGCATGGTGCCACTTGAGCAAACCAAGGCAAGGAGTGAGCCAGAAATAACCACAAGACCAGCACCTTGAGAACAGGACAGGCGGCAAGCCTAAGACTTTCACCTATCTGATGCTGTGCAGAACATATCCTAGATGAACTCTGCCCATTGTCATGATGCATGAGTTGGGCCTAGCACTTCTGAAACCACTCCTGAGACAACCCTAGTTACTCAGAGATCCTAGGTGCCACTAGAGGAGCAAATCAATGGTGGAGAAATAAAGAGAGAAATAGAAGAATATGGGCATAATGAACAGAGGCAGAATTGGAGACTCCAGGGTAGTAAGGAATAGCCTGATGTGAGTGGCTGGTGTGGCTGGTCCTGGCCTGTGCTGTCACTGGGAGCCATATCTGGGTTCATGACCCTGAAGGAGCAGGGGTCTGTTACCACCAAAGGCCAGGTGAATATCCCCAGTCTGGGATGCTGCCCAGGGACATTTTGATGTCTCAGGGCTGTGCAGAACTAGCTCCAACCTTCATCTGATCATCCTTGGAAAGCTGGTCCAGAGGGATGGAGAGCAGGAGAGCTGACCCTGCCCCATACCTAGCTGCATTACTCAGGAGAAAAGGCCCAGCACATTGCAGAAGTTGCACGTGAGTCACCTGAGGATAACAGCATTGGAGAGCTGGCCCTGCCACTCATATCCCATGAGCTGGTGTGGACTAGGAAGAGATATCTTCCTTCCCTCTCACCTCTTAACACCCCAGGGAGGAGACCTGGCCCTGAGATTATAAGAGCAGGAGAACTGTCACTGCCCCTCAAGAAATCAGACCTTGCACTTAACCAGGGTAGCACAGTACAACTGACCCTGATGGCCGGGTTATGAGTAAGCATGGGAGAGCTGAAATTATCTGCCGTGCTGTGGTGTGGGAGAGGGAGAGATTCCAATCTCCTCTTACCCTTTGCCACCTATGGCAGATGGGATTTCTAGCCTTGGAGTCATGAGAGCGGAAGAACTGGCCCTGCTCCTCAGCTGCTGCAGCACTCTGGAAAAGAACCATCTCTCACCTCACCCAGGCAGCACAGCAGCTGGCCCTTGATGTGGGGTTACAGGTGTGCCAACCCTAAGGGAGTGAGAGCAGGAGAATGGATCCCACCTCTTGTCTGCTGGGCTTTAGAGGGGGAACATTGGAGATAGGTGGGCATGAGAGTAGGAGAACTAGCAATGTCCTTCACCAGCTGTAATACTTGATAATGCAAGCCCTGCACCTCACCTGGGAAGCAGATGGTGTGAGTGTGGGAGAGCTAGCAGGGTGACCAGCTCAGATACCTCTCAGGCCCAGATCCCATCGATAATCTCCTACAGTGGATGAACGGGCTGGTCCTACAGATCCAAAACTACAGGATCTCCATGACACAGGGCAACAACATGATATCACAGAGGAGTCCCAGTGAGTATCGAGTATTGATAGTGTAGCAGAAGCCAGAGGCCTCTTACCAGACTATGGTGTCATTGATATGAACATTTGTGGGCAAAGAAGTGTGGACAAAAGGGTATGTGGTAGACAATGCAAGAGTGGAAATTTGGGACAAGAGGAGGGGCAGATGAGTGGATTTGGGAGGCATAGCAAGAAATTCACAAAGAACAATAAAAAGTTTAAAAATATTAAATACAAAAAAGAATACAAACACTAATCAATTATCTCTGAATGAATACGTTCTATATAATCACAAGTAGGTTCTCTGAAATATTTTTTTTCTTGTGAAAGCATAAAATTACAGCCCTTAAGGTTGAGGGGTTTTTTTTGTTTTGTTTTGTTTTGTTTTGTTTTTTGTCATCTCTAAGACTGAAACCACTTGATATCTATATTTAGATAAGGAGCATAGCCTATCCAGTACCTCGACACTCCAAAGGGTGGTTCTACTTCTGCAGAAGTGGCTGCCAGTTGTGAAAGAATATCTGATAATCTAACAATGAATAAGACACAGGACACAGACCATTGCCACAGCCCTTGGCACACTTTTGAGGCAACTGTATAAATCATTTCTCGCTTAGAAAGTACTATCGAAAATTTGAGAAAAGTGGTAGTATGCCCGCTGGTGACCATGCCATGAATGAATGAGTGACAGCTCTCCAATACAGTGGAAAAGCTGAACAAAATAAACAGCTAACATGTACTAAGCCCTGACAGACAGCAAGTAACAAATATAACTTTGTAAAATGCGACTTATAAAGCATTTATGAGAGTATCAAGTCAAGTTATTTTTGGGTAACCGCCATTCTACTTGATGTTATATATGATGATATTAACTTCTTCCTATAAGCTTCATTCTTCTTCTCTGCTATGCTCATTATTTACTTCTCAAATTTATATTTGTACATCAAATATCTGTGTAAATTTCCAGTGTCAAATTAGGCAGATGCTAGAATTCTGGTGATTTATATTTCAGGTTCTAGAGGGAACACATTCAGTTATTTGAATCTAGTTCTGCTCTTCTGTGACCTGGTCCAGTCTGCCTTGTAGTTTCATACCAGTTTACCTCACTGGTAATGTTTTCTCTTCTATTACATACTTCTAGATGGTAGGAGTATTAATTTAAATAATAGACTAAAAGTGATAAGAACAGTGTGAAAAATAAGTATTCTCTGTTGTCACTGAAATTGTCCTAATAGCTATCCTTATAATAAATCTAATCCAATACTTCAAAAACGCACATTTATTTCAGTGTTTCTGGATTAGAAAACACCACTAGAAACATCATCTGTTAATGATCTCTAACTAATTTTAGGTGGACTTTTTAAAATTACATACACACTCAAACAAACACACACACACACACACACACACACACACACACAAGCACTGACCACTATCATGAGAAAATAATTAAATTCTTCCTCTGCTATTTTCATGTGTAGTATTTATTTTTCTTGCTTATTTGCTCAGGCTAAAATTTCCAGATATAAAACTTCCAATACCTATGATATTACGTGTAAGTGATAGTAGCATACTTCTTTATCTTGCCCCTCATCTAGAAAATACCTTAATCTTTCCACCATTGAGTAAAACATTACTAGTAACCTTGTAATCTTGTTTTTTTTTAATCTCTCACATATCACATCTCCACTGAAGTTTCCCATCTCTCCACTCTTCTATGTCAACCCCCAACCTTTGCCCCAGATCCACTCCTCCGTTTCCCTTCAGAAAAGAGTAGGCCTCCCACAAGTATCAACCAAGCATGGCATATCAAGTTGAAATAAGATTAGGCACCTCCCCTAATATTAAAGCTTGTCAAGGCAACCAGAAGGGAGACACAGGAACCAAAAGTAGGTAAAAGAGTCTGAAGAAACCCACAATCCAACTGCTAGGAGCCCTACAAGAACACAGAGCTACAAAACCACAACATATATGTAGAGGAACTAGCCCAGACCCACACAGACTTGCTGATTGTTGCTTCATTCTCTATGAGCCTCTGTGAGTCCTGCTTAGTTTATTCTGTGGGCCATGTTCTTGTCTATCCTTGATCCTTCTGGCTCCTACAATCCTTCCTGACCCTCTTCTGTGGGGTTCTCTGAGCTCTTCCTAATGTTTGGCTATGTATCTCTCCATCTGCTTCCATTATTTGCTGGATGAAGCCTTTCTGATGATGGCACCGCTAAGCTCCATTTTATGAGTAGAACAGAATGTAATTAGGAATCATTGTTGATGCTATTATTGTGCTATTATTATTATTATTATTATTATTATTATTATTACTAATTGTGTTTGGTTCAATCCTATATCTCTAGGCTATCAAGCCTCTGGTATGGTCTTGATAGAATTGAAGCATGCTACAGTAATATCAAATTTTTTGAAAAACTTTCCTTTTTTACTTATGAAAAGACACGGTTTTGTGGGTTTTTTCAAACTGGATGTCTGAATGTAGAATACAAATAAATCCATACTTATCACAGTGTAAAAAGCTTAATTCCAAATGGATAAAATACCTCAATATAAAACTAGATAAACTGAACATAAGAGAAGAGAAAGTGGGGGAATAGACTTGAACTTATTCATACAGGAAAGGATTCTCTGAAAAGAATGAGCATTGTCACAGATTCTAAGATCAACAATTAATAAGTGGAACCTCATGAAACTGAGAAGCTTCTGCATGGCAAAAGACACAATTATTTGGACAAAGTGACAGCCTACAGAATGGGGAAAAAGACTTTTACTGATTTTATATTTGATAGAGGACTAGTATCCAAAATATATAGAGAACTCAAGAAACTAGATATCAAGAAAACAAATAACCCAATTTACAAATGGGTTACAGATCTAAACAGAGAATTCCCAATATGAGAAACTCAAATGGCCGAGAAACACTTTTTAGGGGCACGGTGGAGATGAGGGAGGGAATGAGGGATCGGGACACAGCTGGGATACAGAGTTAAGAAAATGTAACTGATAAGAAAAAAATAAAATTCAAAAAAAATTAAAAAAATTGATCTATGACCTTAGCTTTCTGGGAAATGAAATCTGAAACAGCTTTGTGATTTCAGCTTACATGTATCAGAATGGCTAAGATCAAAAACACAACCTCATGTGGACTGAGAGGAATACTCACACATTCCTGGTGGTCGTGCAGACTCACACAGCTACTATAGAAACAAGTGTGGCAGTTCTTAGGGAATATGAAAACTGACCTATTTGAAGATAGCACTCTTGTCCATGTACCTGAAGAATATTTCTTCCTACCACAAAAACACTTGCTCAACCATGTTCATTGCAACTTTATTCATAATAGCCGGAAACTGGAAAAATTTAGATGTTTCTCAAAAAAAGAAT